TTTCCTTCTACTTCACTCTTGAAATCTTCTCAAAATAATTCTAACTCGTGTAAATTATATAAGGTTCACATCTTATTTTATCCATCCAAGATTTATTATATATGAGCTTTTCAAGATCTCAGAACTCAAATTTACTACTTGATTTAGTATTGAAAACATTATTTGGATAATCAAGACATCATTTGTCATATTACTAAAACATGCATTCCTTGTCTTGTCAATAGAAGACTTAGAATTAATTTTTTTGTTACTAAATGAAACTTAATATCAATTATTTTGTTTCATTACAAGCTCTAATTTAATTCTAATCATAAGCTCTTATAGTCAATGAACCATATTGTTTCATTCTAGACGTAAGCTGACTCAAATTATAATTAACCTCCTACTTCTTAAAAGACTCTTCACATTCATATGTGAGACCAACATCTAGTATCACATACCCAAGATGTAGAAGTAGACAATTTAATTTTCTATAACAAATCATATGAAGAAAAAGTCTTAATTCTTTCTTATACTTTGACTCTTTCGATAACCATTAGCAGTTTTCTTTTTCAACACATGAAATCACTACCTTCCTTTAGAACCGAGTTTATCAGCCCAATTCAAGTGAATGTAAAATGAATCTCATTTTTTTATAATTCATTTATTTAACATCACAAACTACTTTATTTTCTTTTCAACAAGATGATGTAGATATATTTAAAATTCATTTATAATGAATCTAATCTAGCTATCTAAGACAATCTCAAGTAGAGCTAGTGGCCAACTACTTGGTCTATAAGGAAATCCAAATTTTAAATCTCAAAAATATTTTAGATCTACTTGGATTTCCAACTTGTATACAAAAGACCTTGGAATGTTTTACATTTCTCATATCTTGTATTTCATATTTTTTAAAAAAATCCTCGAGGTTAATGATCATATCATTTTCTGTGACGACTACAATTATGATATATGTTATAATTAGACATTCGATTTAAACCCTTCTCATAAGTATTGTTCTTCGAATCTAGTTATATTAGGTTGTCAGGAATTGGTTGCTTGAGAACATACAATTTTTCTCGTGCTTGAGAATAATTCTCAATTTGTGTACCAATTCATAAACTCTTTTTTGATCCTTACATCCTTCATAAGGATATTTCACATTAAAATATAAATAAAATGCAAAGTAAATTCTAAATACAAAATGTGTAAAAGGATTGTATCAAATTAAATCATTTTAATAAGGAATTTTATTAAAATGATTCCACTATTTTTAGTCAAACCAAATGAGCCTCAATACTTGATTCGGAATATACCGTTGAAAGATTTTCTAGTGGGTCGAAATCCATATTTCACTTTGTTTTAAGTCCGCATATGCGGATTACACAAAACACTGTTATTTAGGTATGGACTCTTTCCAATTGTATCTAATATCATTCTCGAATGTTATCAGTTGAGTGAATAACTCCTTATTTTAATTCATCATATGGATTATTCTCAACTCTTGCTTCTAAACATATATAACCCTATTATAATTAGTTTATTTAAGTTAAACCCAAAAATTTAGCAGCTGGATATTACATTTATTCCATCGCACCTTACTAATATAAAACATGTACCTCGCATTAGGCGAAACCTACATTATTCGATACTAGTCTTGATGAGTGCTAAATTTTGGAAAGCAATTAACTTAATATTTAATTGAGGAATTTGTCTTAAGTTGGATCTCACTGATTTGTGTATCTCATACACTTACATATTTGTGTATCTTATATACATGCATATAATCATATATTTCACGCATCACATACATAAAACGAAACTTGGTAATATGATTATGACCACCTAAAACTAGGGGTGGAAAACAGGTATGTCCTCCCTGCAAAAGCCTGCAAAAAAAACGGGGCGGGGTGGGATGGGCATAGTTGAGGATGAGGGCCTAAAACCTAAGCCCACCCCGCAAAAAAGTGTGTGTGGGTGGGAAAAACCCGCGGGAACTGCACCTTTTAAGTCTAAGAATGTAAAATGTTATGCTAATGCTCATGCCCGTAAAAGCCCGTGAAGAAAACGGGAGGGCGGGACAGTCACATTAGAGGGTGAGGGTCTAAATTCTTGGCCCGCCCCGCACTAAAGTGCAGGTAAAACGGGCATGCCTAACGGGCGAGGTCCGTTTTGCCACCCCTACCTAAAACACACGAATTAAATATTATTACAATTCTTTGTCCCACGAGCAAACATCTCATGCCTCTCCACCGACGTCATCGTTTGGTATTGTCTTCTCTTCAACTCTTGAATTTGAACATTTATAATATTTAAATAAATAAAATAATAATTAAATGGGACAACACATAGGTCATATTTAATTACAATAAACCAAGACATGCAGGCCGTATTTAAATAAAATAAATCACGACACACAAGTCATATTTAAAATAAACAAACGTCAAAATTTAAGGTCATAACCGTATACTAATTTATTTAATAATAAATAATTAAATAATAAATAATAATAATATATTTATTTATAAATATTGACGCATCAACACTTGATGCTTTTTGTGAACTCTAAAGGTAAAACTCTTGCGCCGTCACAAACTGTAATGCAAATGCGTTCATACTATCAAAACACAATAATTAATTATCCAATATGTATGATCGAATGTCATTGTTTCACCATATAAATATCGAATTCCGAAGCTGAACGAACATTGATCATTCAAATTTATAACAATTATTACACTATTTGAATGTACGAAACAAAATAGTGTATCAAATAAATAAACTCTGTATTAGAAATATTTATATCATATATAAATTCGAACAATAATTTTATATCACTTATGGATAATCAAAGTATCGTTGTTTCATCATACAAAATATCGAATTCTAAAACATAATCAATATCGATATCCAAATTTTACAAAACATATTATCAATATTTAATTTTAAATAAGAAACACTTTATTATTTTATTATCATTTAAAATAATAAACCGTTATTAATATCATTTATTAATTATTATTATTACTTAACTTTTAAGATGGTGAACCAAATTATGTCAAAGCCACACAATACAAATTTGTATTTGAAAGTATATTTTCGATTCTATTTTTTTTTTTTGTCTTTTGAAGGATAAAATTATATTTAGTCTGTTTTTTAAAAAAATATGGTATATATCAAAAATATATTTTTAATTTTTGAAAAACATTTTTTAAATTATATAAAATATTTGTTTTAACCGTGAGATGGAATAAGAATTTCTCTAATAATAATTAAATAAAATCATTCACCACAGTCACGGCGATAACATCATATTGCTTGGCTGCCACTGACACTCAGTCTCTTTTAAAATTGACAAGCAACCAATTTGTTGACAATAATATGAACTTATAATGCTATTCCAAACAACATTCAGCTATCGCATCAATTATCGGTTTAGTAAAAACGCATACCGTAACAATTAACATAATCTAGGGGTGTTCAGATCCAATCCGATTCAAAAAAATCCAAAAACCGAACCGAAAAAACCAAAATCCAAAAAAAACCGAATTTTTTTGGATGTATTTGGATCACCATATAGCATAACCGACCGGTTCGGTTCGGTTTACGGTTGGCTTCATGAGAACTGAACTGGTCCAAACCAAACCGGTATTACTTCCATTTACTTGCCATTTATTATTTAAAATAAATTAATATCGAATCATTTATAGCCATCTTCTCTCTATATTATTATTGAAACTGTTATTGATATTTTTCTTGAAGTTTTATTATTATATTCGCTTTAATATAGCTTTGGAATCTTCATTTTTTCACTATTTTATATATTTGTCATATATTTAATTTATAATACAAATCTCCATATAAGAACTAAGCATATCTCCATATATATTATATATTATAGTCATGTCTATTTCGTTGGGATAGATATTATACATATATTATAATGAAACTTTGCAATAATGACATCAAATAGCCATATGAACATAGCAATTAGCTATTGTCTCAGTAGACGTTGGTGGCATAATTGTAATTGGTATTGAAATATATTCTTTTAAATTTCTAAATAGTGTTGGTTTAAAAACCTAATAAAACCGATTCAACCGAACCGAAGTAAACCGTATAAATTGGATTGGATTGGATTTTTCTTGTTGTCATCCAAAAACCGAACCAAACCGTATGCTTTATATATTTTTGGATCGGATGATATTTTGTCTCAAAACCGATCCAAACCGAACCACGAACACCCCTAACATAATCGTTCTTATTCTCTTTGCATATATGATTACACATCTTATAATCAAAATTATAATAAATCATATTTGAATTAATGATTTAATCAGAATTATAGCTTTCATTACCACTGTTGGCACTACAATATTTAGGCTCTCCAGCAACAATTGAAAAACGTTGCCAGAACTCTGAAAATCGTTGCCTAAAACAATATGGGACTTTTTCTAGGCGTCTCCCGTGCGAGCGTTGCCTATTGTTTGAGGCGACGTTTTTTTATGTTTTTTGGGAACGCTTTTGAAAAACGTCGCCTATAGTAAAGGAATAGGGGACGATTATTTACGGCCTCTGAGACAACGTTTTTTAAGCGTTGCGTTGCCAAATTCGGCTAAAATTAACAATCGTTGCCTTAAACCTGAATCAAGAAGATCGTTTTTGAAGTGTAGCCATAGCTTATAGGTTGTTGTTTTGTAGTGTCCACATAAAATATACAATTTTGCAATTATTATCAAAATAATATAGTCAATAATAATTGGCTTCAAAAATAATATTGATTATATAACTTAAACCATACATCCATAAAAGTTGTAATATAATAAAATCGAGTTCAAACTTTAATTCAAGATATAGTATATAGAGTACACAAAATGCCTAACGTAACAATATTACTTTTAATACTTTGAAGTATGACCCTAGTAAAATAACTAAAAACATAGTTCAACAAAAGAACAAAAATCATATTTCAAGTTTAAAGCTTTCAACTACAAGCCAAAAAAAAGACATCATCCAACTCATTCAAGTTTGTCTTCTAGGAGTAAAGCATCCAGATCGTCCTCTTGAAATTCGTTAGATATGTCATCCTCCATAAACTCTTCATCTACGTCGTCCTCTTGAAATTCACCATCTATATCCTCCTCTTGAAATTCATCATCTAGATCTATGTCGTCCTCTTGAAATTCGTCATCTATGTCGTCCTCTTGAATTTTATCATTTAGGTCGTCCTCTTGAATTTTATCATTTATGTCGTCCTCTTGAATTTCATCATTTATATCGTCCTTTTCAACATCTTCATTGATACATTGCTGCATAAGAAAATAAAATAAAACACATTAACCATAAGTATTTTTGGTCCAATGGACAATTAAGACATCAAAAAGAATTAAACCTCGCACAAATAAAAACTAAACCAATGAGCAAAAAACATTGTTTATATTCTTCACATCTCATGGATGTGAATTAATTATGAAGGTTTTTAATGGATGTGAATTTTCGTTCTAAACTGTAATAGGTGACATGAGCTTACTAGCAAATAAATCAATTATGAAAACCATTCTGTTTTTGGCTCACTATTCAGGACTTACAATAGTCTTTAACTGTATGTATGTATGAATAACTTGTGCTATCCTTTTATGTTTATTTTTTGGAGTAAATGAACTCTGATGAACACTCTTACTTGTTGTATCTTCTTTGGTGTTCAGTATCATATGGATAAATTTACAGCATACATAGTGAGTGTTATCAAACAAGGGGGTCTCATAATCTTATGTAAATAATACATGAAATCATTATTATGAAATATGAAACTAATTACCTTTTTCTTCTTCTCTATTTGTGATTGCATCTTCTTCGTTGACTTTTGCCCGATTTTGAACACTTTCTTGTCGAGTTCCTTTTTTTGATTGATTTTGATTAGAGCTACGGTTAACGCTGCTGCCCGGTTTTTCACCATTGATTGACTTGGTTGCATCCATTTCCTTTGACTTGTGAAGATTTACATAATCATCAATCAACATTGATGGGCATTTTGGCACCCTGTTTAGCTTTTGAGAGCATTCAGCTTTTGACATCATTGTGTCCAAAGATAGAGTTTTCGGCACAACAACATGAAAACTTAGCAAATAAGTTACATACCTTTCTCTAGTCATGGCCACATTGGTTCTTTGCCGATTTGAAAGAAAACCGACTTTTCCACTCCCATTTGATCTAACAGTAGATATTATTATAATATCTTCCTCTCCACCTTGAAAACCGTCAATAGAACGAACACTCACAGAGAAATCAGTATCAGAAACAGAAGTGTACTCCTTAATTTTGTCCTGGATTGCATAGACTTGAGCATTATATGGAGAGATAACTCCAATGATAACTTTCTCTTGTGTCCTCTTAAACTCTAAAATTAAGAACATACACATATTAATTATACACATATTAATAGAAAACATAACCACAAATGTTAAAGAGAATAATAACCTTTTTTGAGGTTTTTAATCATCTCAGAAATGACAGCAACCTCAACCATGTTCATCAAGCTGTGTCCGCGGCCAGATTTCTCCTTACGCTTAGCAATGTTAATAAAAGAATAAGACGAATATAATTCTCCTTCAAGGAAACTCTTATTGTAGCTTTCTTCCATAACAAAAGGGGCATCTGAGATCTTTTGATCATAGAACTCTTTGCTTGGAAATAAGCTTATGTTTGGATGCATTCGATACTGAACATTAAGCATATGTTTCTTGTACCCTAATATTACCAGTCTCTCAAACATACTTCTTCCAAATCCACAACTATCAGCAATCTAAAAAAAATTCAAACATCATAAACATACTTAATTAAAGGAAAAAAAAATCAAGATACAATAAAACTAAATTCAATAATCAGGTACCTTGCTTTTCACCAGTGCTGGCAGTTGCTTCTCATCACCTATAAGAATGCAATGCTGAAGACCAGGTAGCTGTAAGGGGATTGTGGATTCACACTCTTTCAACTAGGCCGCTTCGTCAATTACTAGAAACTTTACCTGAGTCATTCCTTCAGTGTAGAGTTTAATAGAACTAGAAACAGTGCACAAAACCAGACATGCATTGGACAAGCAAAACTTTTCTATTTGATTTCTCCCATTGAGTTCAGGAAGCAAAATAGAACTGGAAAGCAAACTGAGTATTTTCAAGAAATCATCAATTTCAGAGTTTGATGGTAGAAAGCAAGAAGGAATTCTTTCTTTTTCGCTAGCATCAAGAGTTTGCTTAAACTTTGCTGGACCCAATGAAATTCCAATTGACCTCAATAGTTCAATAGCTCGAAACATTTTCTTCACTGTTGCAAGTGAAATAAAAGACTTGGGCAGTTGAGTGTATAAAGTTTGTATCAAAAACTTGAGCTTCTCACTTAATTCACAAAATGTCTTCTTCACAAACTGCTCCAATGTCATGAAACTTTTAATATTATCCATCTTGTCGGAATATTCATCTGCAATATTGATCCACAACTTCTGCACATATTCCTCCAATGTGATAATATGATCATCATTCCTACTAATTCGCCTGTACATGCAGAAAGAGGATAACACATGACTATGTTTTTCATTGACAAATTCCTCAAGGGACTTAAGGCCAATCTCTGAAAAATATTGCTTTTCGGGATCTTGAAGAAACTGGGACATGGACTCCAAGGTACGCTTCCATCCGGTTAATGAAGAAAAGCACTGCATGAGGTTTTTCACCCGATAATCAAGAAAGATATCACCAAGACCTGGATAACAATCAACTTTCATTCTTTTACCATTTCCAAAGAGCACAATGTCACCTAAACCATATGTATCATACTCAAGGGATTCCATAACTAAACTATGCAACCGAGTTGCGACTTACAAAATCGCAGTATTTGTTGGTGCACAAGTTAGTGTCCTTGTTTTCAACTTGAGAAGAGAAAATAGCAGGCATGCAACTGTCTTTGTTTTCCCAGTTCCAGGTGGACCCCATATAAGTTTGGTATTAGCATGACAATAGTTTAACATACCAACACAGCTTGAAACAGCTTCTTCCTGTGAATCATTCAAATTTTGAGAACGAATTATGTCTTCTTTAGTGTAAGAATATTAACTACAAAATTTGAAGTTTTCTCCACCCTGAAACACAAAAGCAAGTATAAAAAAATGTTACATTCATATATAATCAAACTGCATAAAAAAAACTCCATTGTTCTAAACTAGATATGAACTCAAATTTGAACACGACTGAGTTTTCCTTATTTGAACTGAGAAACTAACAAAGAAAACAAATGAAAAAATGATTCTTACATCATGACAAGGCCGCAACACTTTTTTAATAAGGCCAAGGTGGTCACCGTCTGATTGTGAGTTCAAGGCTTTCCAAATACGAACATTTGTTGTCATGTTCATAAGATAAACTGCATACATTTTCTGTTTATCATTATACCTGAAATCAGTTTCAGTCATGCATTTCGATGACATTATCGAGACTTCACCAGAAAATTCATCTTTTGGGGCAACAACATAGCCAACATTGTAGGGATTGTATACTTTTCTTAATTTGTCGCGTATAATCAACGACGACAACAACAACACCAACACAGACATGTCTATAGCAGCGACCTCCTCACAAAATCATCAATTGTAAAATATACATGTCATTCTCCATCTATATTAATATGACAATATAAACAAACCCAAATAGACATTTTATCAAACAAGATGCATGCATACAAGAAATCCGTATAATCAATGAATCCTACAACTCAGATTTGGAGTTTATAATATGTTTACCTGAGTATCAATGGAAGATGGAAGATGTTGGTAGATCTTTCTCTTGAACCTGAATTTCATCGATTTTACAGTTAATTAGATAAACCCATAATTAAAAAGCTTTTAATTTGTGAAAAGTAAAAATTCTAAGTAGAATTTCACCTGATTCTGAGAAGAAAGCTCGTGGAGGCGTTCTTGAAGGACGAATTTGTTGGATTTGAAAAACAATTTTGCTGATGTTTGAGATTTTTGAAGAAGATGTGTTTTACTGCGTATGTTTGGAAGTATAGTAACAGTGACCCATACTTTGGTCCAATTTGGAACAATGGGTACCGGTTATTTTTTAATTTAATAAATGGGTACCAGTTTGGAACAATGAAAAATATTTTAAATTCCTGTGTTAGAAAATTTTTTATTTTCAGTTTAATGAATTTTTTTTTAATATATATATATATATATATATATATATATATATATATATATATATATATATATATATATATATATATATATATATATATATATATATATATATATATATAATTTTTTATTTTCTGTTTAATTGAAATTTTTTATTTTTAAATTCCTGTGTTCGAAAAATATTTTTTTTTATATATATTAATAATGTTTAGAGAAAAATATTTGTTTTTTAGTGTATAAGTTTTGGAGGGAAGATTACCACCAAAAATTTGATAATTCTAAAAAAATTTATACAACATTTCAGAAATGTAGCCTTTTATTAGAACTAATGTAACAATCTAAAAATGTCCCCAAAAATATTTTAGGGGACAATTGTCAAACATTGCTAAAGAAATAATATTTTAATGCTCTAAAATCGTCCCCAAAAGCAGTTAAGGGCACAATTAACAACCGCTGGCAAAAAAATAAAAGAGTATCGCTCCATAAACGTCCCCAAAACTATTTTAGGCGACGATTATCAAGGGTTGCAAACATATTTTTGACAACAATCGTAAATCGTTGCCTATATGAATTTAAGGCAACAATTTCTACATGCTACCTAAAAAAGTGTTGTCAGAGACAACAAATGTTGTAGTGTGGAATTTAAGAGGGATTTCTCAAAAAAAATTATTCTTAGTATAATAATCTCAAAAAATAAATTTTAATTAAATTATTAGTCACAAGTCAATCAAATTAAAATAAGAGGGCGGTGCTAGCCGTTTTCAGAGAATGACAAAATTGACGATTAACATTGCCATGGAAATAGCTTCTCTATTTATTAGTTATAGAGATCTACTAAAATCCTAATACTTTTATTCTTATTGTTACATAAATCATATATATATATATATATATATATATATATATATATATATATATATATATATATATATATATATATATATATATATATATATATATATATATATATATATATATATATATATATATATATATATATATATATATATATATATATATATATATATATATATATATATATATATATATATATATATATATATATATATATATATATATATATATATATATATATATATATATATATATATATAAGCACAACACAAATAAGTAATAATGACTGATAAGAATAATTTTCTTTTGATAGTGTTTCTTACGATATTTTTGGTATCACATAAATACTCTATTGCAAACCAAATCATGTTCATATATCAACATGTTTAATCAGAATTATTAGAAAAATTTGAGCTTATTCAAATAGCTACAATCAAAGAAAATTATAGAAAATAAAATTGTGATTAAAGAATAAAATGGAGATTAAGCCGTGGTTACAGAAAATTAGTTTACCTAAAAATATGGATGAACAAAAAAGTAACCAGTTTTTATTTGGAGCTTTTGGATAACAACCAGATTATAATTGAATTTATTGATGGATAACAAAACCATTTATCAATTAACCCGTTGATAACCATTTAAATGGGTTTAGATTTAATTATGGTTTTAGGCTTTATAACCAAATATTTTGTAAGGATATTAAAAAAAAGTTGGGTGGGCCGTGGCGCACCAGGTGCCGCCAGAGAGGATTACCGTCATAATAAAGAAAGGAACTTCAAGATTCATTTGAATTCATGTTTAAAGGTTTATAAAGAGGCTTCCTTCAAAGTGATAAATGTAAGTAGGATAGGAAATCACCCCCTTGTGAACATAAATATCTTAAGTTATATACAATGGCCGCTACTACAAAACGCGTAAATAACAACGCGATGATCACCATAGTTCTTTTTTACACCGTGGTAACATCTTTAAACTAAGGCGCTAGCATATTATTTTTGTTTTTTAATTAAAAATTAATTGTATATAACAATAGTTATGGATTCAACTGTGGTGATACCATCATGTTTCATGGATTCGAACCTCAACGCCCTCATATATATTATTCCTTTAATGTTAAGATGCGTTTTTTTCATTTATTTTTAAATAAAAAATTTAAAGTATTATGATTATGGTTTATGTGTTTCACCGTTGTGACACGTTTATATATATCACCACAGTTGGTTTTGTAAATCGTTGTGAGTATATTTATATAGAAGCGAATTAACACTCACTCTTTGACATTAGCGTCATATCTTTCACAATAAAATCCTAGAACCCATTTTTCTCTTCTTCATCATTATTGTAGTCGTCAATCTTGTTCTTACATAAAGGTATTATTCTTTTTACTTATTCTCTCGTTTTGGTGTATGTTGTTGTTATATTTCACATGGTTTTCCTATAATTTTCTTCTTATAATGCTATTCCAAATTTCATCCACCTTATATTTCTTTTTCATGACTTCACAAACTAGATGAACCTCATATGGTGACGAAATGGTGGTAGAAAGCGTAGAATATGAGTTGATAATGGTACATATGATTTGTATAGCAATGGAAAAAAATACAAGAAGTGTGAAGTCATTTTGAAAACTTCATTCACCTTGTATTTCTTTTTCATTGCTTCACAAACTAGATGAACTTCATAGGTCCACGATTATTTAAACTAAAAGGTGTGATCTATAAACAACTTAATATATTTTGTGTATTGTATGCTGTTAGTGATATTATTTTGTTTTTATATGATGTTTTTGTTGACAAATATTCTCAAAACAAGAATAAAACATTTCTAACTTATAAGAAAAAGGCTTCTTGTGACTTAACAATGTTTTGTTCTTTAAATTCTTATACAGATGGACATGTCAAGATGAAGTATAGTTTATTATATACTATGTATATTGTTTGTTTAACTAACCTTTTAATGGAAATGCAACCATTTAAATTGGCATAGAAACTATAATCTGAATATTAAGATGTATTTGAAAACTTACATATATCAATCACTATATTACGAATTGCATATGTCTCATTCAGCATATTTTATATTCTTTAACACATAATATATGATTCAATAGTCGAATTTCTACAATACATCGATATCTATTATTCTATTTTACCTTGTCGTCGTCACTTATCATCGTGATTGTTAAGATCATGATTGTTATGATGATAAGTCATCATAACAATCACGATGATAAGCAATGATGATGAGGTAAACAATAATAAAAGATATTGATGCATTGAATTAATCTGACTATTGAACCATATATGTGTTAAAGAACATAAAATGTGTTGAATGAGATGCATGCAATTTTGAATACAATGATGTGTTTAAGTTGATTTTCAAGAATAGTTTAATTTTCATATTATATAATTTTTTTAATCAATTTTAATGGTTGTATTTCTTTAAAGAGGTGTATGGTAAAACAAGAAATATACATTTGTATTTAATAAGCTATGAGTATGTTCCACAATGGTTTTTTTATATTAACAGTGATCTAATATAATTTATTTACTGCTAGGTTTGGAACCCAATACCATACCTATCACAACAGTTAATAAATATAACTGTTGTGATTCACGTGAACTTACCAATATACTATAACAATTTCAGGATCGTGATTGTTAATAACGAATTTATAATAACACTCTACACAACAACTCCTGATCATGTGTGATTATATGTATTTACTAACTATTGTTAAATAAGTTTTTTGTAATAATTGACAAATGTATGAAGAACAATATTTATTATTTTTTGTCTAA